GTAGTAGTAGCAGCAGCAGCAGCTGGGTGCCGGGCACATTCTGTCGAATCTCCGGTGGTGACATGCACTGAATGCAATAGGAGATGCCATCCATCTCGACCACAATATACATGAATTCTCATCTTGTGCCTTCTGGATCGTTCTGGTAGGTATAGCAATGGAAGCGTGTTCGGCATTGGCCTTTGCAGCAGTCGCCGCGAGCATTCCACGGGGGGGGGGGGGGGGGGGGTTTGATGCTATAGTTGCCATATTTGCGAGAAGCATTAAGTACTGGTGTATTGCTGGGGCAGGGCTCAATCTTGGATTCCATCCTTTCCAGTGGTCACTGAGTTCAAAGTGGTGCCTGATGTTGCCTGTCCCGGCAGCCACAAACAACAGCACGGCAACCAATGCAAAGAAATCAGAGCTGCTGCTGTGGTTTTCGCTGGTGCTCCCATCGTCCATACTGAAGTCGCCTCTTTCCAACAAGTCTGCATCGTCACTTGGAGGGCTCCGATTGGAACATCAGTGCCTCAATCTTATGCCACTACAAGCGAAAGTAATTTCAGATCCCATGCAATGTGGGACTACCTTGTTTGCAACAGTGAGTGTTTCATGTGCGGGTGTGGGTTTGGAGGTTGTGCAGGCATGTGAGACACTCGTTGTCACCAGTTTTATGCCGGGGTGTCTGAGTGACTTAGGTGCGCCGGTGAAATCACTACAGCATGGAAGAATAACATCACGACGGTACCGTTGCAATGCGACGGATTCAAACTGCTGGACGACGAGGCATTGAAGCTGATTCCGACAACGTGGACACCGCAGCAGAAACAGGTCCTCGCAAACTACGGGGTTGCACTGGGCGATGTCATGTCCGCGTACGTTTGGTTGCAGCATAACCTGGCACATCTGCAGATGCCTCGCTCTGGACCGGCTCAGCCCTCATCTTCTGCAGTAGTTGTTGTAGCCCGGAGATCGTCGTAAGTAGTGTCAATGATGCTGTCAGTAACCAGAGCAATTCTCCTGACTCTGCCCTAAACCCTAAACCCTCAACCCTAAACCCTAAACGCTCCAAGGTCTGGCCCCGTGAGGAGGTGGTGCGGGAAATGCTTGGTCGTTGCGGAGTCCTCTCTATCGGAAGAAGGAGCTTGTTGCCATTTTGGTCACTGTGTTATTCCGGTGATAGCTACCTAATACTGCTCCGGAAGCTGCTGCACTTATACCGCTGCGACATTACCACGATGACGGCAAACTTCCAACTACCGCTGCTGATGCTACTGCTACTGTTACTGCT